CACGAAGCGTGTAAGGGTTGTGCCGAAACAGTGACATGCGGAGAGGACAAGCAAGCATAACACTTTAAATAGTAGGAGGAGGGGGCAGCGGGAAGGGAGAAGGAAGGAGAACGCGGGGCGCTCTCTTCAAAACGAGGGCCCAACACCACATGATGGTTGGGATTAAAAATTCTGAAAGAGCTGTCCTGGACGGTTCTTGGGCCATGTCAGGGCCCTCCAAGGCTCGGATGTCTCTGGGGTTGTCTTGAGCTGTCGGAGGCCCGCACAGGCGAGAACACAAACGTCTTTCAGATATCTACAGGGGATTCCTCCGGAGGCCATCTTGGGGGTCGTCTTGGGGCCGTCTGGGAACATCTTCAGGGCCTCTTGGGGCCCTTTGGGGCCATCGTTGAAGACTGTTGGGTTCATCTTTTGCTGTCTTGGGCTCTTGCGGCCCCCTTGGGAGCTTGCCGAGTTCATCTTCAAATTCGCGTAGGCCCTCCTGGGCCGCGCGGTGCTGCCCCAGAGCGGCCAAAACTCCCACAAGCCTTTTAGGGAGTGAGTAGTTTAGAGCGTTTCCTCTTCACCCCGTTTTTCGGGAGGGGGGCGGAATGATGCTGCACCCAAATTCAGGCTCCTTCCCGCTAAGCTGTTGCGCTGGCACGGTGGTGGGGCCTGCCGCAGGCAGTTGAAGATTGCCCCAGTGAGCTGCCAAGAGGCTCCGACATCGAACGATCCACGAGGGCATTTCTGCTCGACTCCTGTGCCCCCTCGGGCAGATCACGATCCTCGGTGTGACGGCTGCCCCCTCCTCCTCCTCCTCCTCCTCCTCCTCCTCCTCGTCCTCCTCCTCCTCCTCCTCCTCCTCCTCCTCCTCCTCCTCCTCCTCCTCCCCCCCCGCCTCCTCCTGCCTGGTCGTCTGACACCCGCTGCCGGCTCCAGCTTCACGCGCACCTCTCGGCGCCGCCAGGCAGCGGCCCAGGCCGCGCGCGACGCGGTGCCGTGCCACTCCCCTGCGCCGCCCACTCCGCGAGCGGTGCTGCGTCGCACTCGGGCTGCGGACCCTGCCCGAGGACGGCACGGTTGAGGATGGTGCTGCGGTGGCGGCGCCGCCCAGAACGCCCAGCGCTCCAGGCGGTCGGGCATGTCCCCTCTACAGGCCGATCTTGGACGACAAACTAAACATTCTCAGAAAAATTCAAAACTGGTCATCGTCCCCCGGCCACTTTTTGACTATTCTTGGATCTTCCTCCCGTCGAGGCACAGGCCCGACCTCACTCCGGGCCGCTCCGGAGAGCCCCAGCATGCCGCGGCGCCACGCCCAGGGCACGAGGGCCCGGGGCCACCGCTGGCTTCAGGCCAGTGCTCCTCTTCCTCCTCTTCCTCCTCCTCCTCCTCCTCCTCCTCCTCCTCGACAGAACTCGGCGGCGAACGAGGGGGTGAAGTGAGACGGCAAAGGCCTTCTCAGAAGGCGGCGGGGCTGCTCAGAGGCCTCCAGCCATCCGAGAGGTCCTCTGCGGCTTCGGGGAAGGCCCAGGAGAAACTCCTCAGACGGCGGGGGGACCTCCCGCCCCCTCTCACCTCCGCCCCGGGGCTCGCCGCCGAAGAACGGCATAAACATACACTCTCGGAGCTCCGCGCAGATTTCTTGGATCGGCGCTACGCCCCCCTGGCGGCGCCGGAGGCGCCGCCAGGCGCTTTCGGCGCCGCTCCTGGCGCGCTCCGCACGGCGGCACCGGAGAGGGGATCCAGCGCCGAAATCCGCGCGGAGCTCCGAAAGGTTGTTTGTGCCTCTTTTCCGTATGAATAACTTCTCCCTGTCGAGCCCCGAGTCCAGTTGCTGGGGCGGGCTGGGCGTTTCGCCTGAGACATCCTCACCATGTATGGCTCTGAAGCTCAACAGTTGGCAGCAGCTTCGCAGATGGGCCGTTCTCAAGATGTGGCTCTCGCCTTAGCGCGGCGCACATTCCTTTCAAACATGTGCAAGCGTTTCACGGATTGAGGGCGGGTCGTTTTGAGAACGTGGCTCTCGCCTTAGCTCGGCTCGCATTTAAAACAACTGCAAGAGCTTCACGGATTGACGGCGGGCCGTTTTCAAACTGTGGCTCTCGCCTTAGCGCGGCGCTCATTCGTTTAAACCTGTGCAATGGTTCCACGGATTGAGGGCGGTTCCATTTCAACATGTGACTCTCGGCTTAGCGCCGCGCAAATTCTTTTACAATATTCTCAAGAGTTCCACGGATTCCTTCATCAACGTACCAGACATGGTGTTTAGGAAGGATTCAGGATTGCGCGGATGCAGCAATTACGTTGATTCTCTGTTCTGAAGTCCTAAGAATGGCGTTCTGTCGCGATTCAGGATCGTCAAGACGCAACAAGTCAGGTTGATCCGTGGCGTTGGAATCTGGAGAACATAGGTTTTGGCATGCTTCAGGGTCTTCAAACGGGTGCCTTCCAACGAGGCAATTCCATCAAGAGAAATGAACCATTGTGTGGGGCATGTGAAGAGGGAGCTTGGAGG